ACCCTCGTTACTTGCGTAAATACGTTGCATATGGCTCTCCGAACGTGGCCTAACCATGTGCGAGTCTTGAAAGTACGGTGAAGCTTCGGTAGTGCTAAAGGCACCACGCTCAGCTCCACGCTTGGTCGGAGGAGTACGAACGAGTCGTTGGGGCGTCGGCGGCAGTGGAATCTTGGATGGATCTTCATCTTGAATCATCGGTCGACTCACAGGCTGCTTTCCGGCATTGATGCCAACAGCGCCAAACGCCTTCCGAAGCTTCTTCTTCCATTTCTGGAGAGCAGCTCCGGCTTCATGTGGACTCCAATCCTGGAGCGACATCGTCGATGGGTACGTCTCGTTCTCGAACCCCAGCGACAACAGTAGCGAAACTGAATCCTCTGCAACTTGGCTAGTCGAAACCGAGTGGACTGGGTATTGAAGTTCCTGCGCAAGCGCAGGCCAGTCGGCTTTTTTCTTGGGGATGGACTTGAACAGCTGCATCCACTCATCATTCTGCATCAGCGCTTGTACGCGGTCGAAAACGCGCTTGGCGGCTGGTGTATCACCGTTGATAGGTGGGCGAGGTGCCTTCAGCAGTGCTGAATGCTTTGCACTCGCCACCGAAGGTTTAGAACCCTCGGTCCCATCGTCATAACCATCATAGGCCGGTTCCGGTCCCGCAACATCATCGAGCTCGTCGGCGAGGTTCCTCGAAAGGGACTTGGTCGCCCCGCTCAGCCCCGATGATAGCGTGGCCGTCTCCGGCGTCACTGCGCCTGGCTCTGGAGCCGGCGTCTTGTCTTCGTAATCTTCATAATCGTGGACGTCAGGACCGATGTCCGCTTCGTCGTCGAAGCTCACTGAAAGCTCGGTGGCGGCTGCAAAGCGCGCATCCGGGCTTGAACTCTCGTTGCGAGCCCCGCCAGACTTGGCAGGCGTAACTGGTACCGTCGGTTGTCCTTTCGCCATGTTTCTTGTCTTTTTCTTGTTCTTCTTCTCTTGGTAGCTCGTAAACTGGAAGGCCATACAAACAGTTCACAATGGTCACAATCTGTTCCCGGGTCGAGGTACCAGTTGTGGTGTTGGAATTCCCACGTGAACTCTAGCTACAAATGTAGTTAGGATGTTCCCACAACAATTCGTCTACTAGGATAGTAAACGATCGTTCGGGCGGACCTGAAGACCCCAGTTCTGCCCTTGCACCGGGACAAACTGGACCTTGTAAGCTACTTATATAGGCCAACCAGTAAAAATAAGAACACGCTACTAGCACGAGCAAAGCTAGCAGGTGTTTTGAATCCTCGTGGTCCCAACAGCGGAAGGGTACCAGGCACGGGTAAGTCTTTTACGAGATCACCGAGTGTTAAACACTCGGTAGGAAGAATAAAAGGGAGGCAATTCAAGCACTCCCAGTCGTGCAAATAGGCAACAATAAGCCGTCACGTAAAACCTCCCGATAATAATCGGCCAATACACAAAGTCTCTTGGCCTTGCCGGATGAACCCTCGCTACAGAGCTTCAAATTCACCGACAGGCATAACACACTCAAACAAGCTTGACCAGACACTTACCTTGAAGCCGGACGTCGCTCTGTGTGCTTGAGTGGAAATTCTGTTCTGTATTTAAGCTTACCCTTTCGGGTCTATTCCTGATATGAAGTGCTAATCAAGTATACAAATATCAAGTGAACAATGATCCGTTATGGATCTTCTTGCATGCCAAGCGTCGTCTGCACCGTCGCATGAGCATCTTTAACGGTCCGCGCCCTGTCCCAGACGGTGAACGTGCCTTCCAAGGGTCGCTGAGTCTTCTGCGAACTCATCCCAACCGACACTGAGGGTTCGTACCGTAGATGGTCCGCTGAATGCGAATTCGGCCAGTCCATTATTAATAATAAGGACAGCCTGGATTCAGTGACATATGCCCGTATCCAATACTCGTTGAACGTTCGGAGGTGACGCCGTCGAGTCCCTGGCACCTTGGCGTCTCCGTACATCACCTGACCGAGGGTTCGTCGCTTGAACATCTTAGGCGGTGTCACGTCTTTGTCGACGGGTGATAATCCGTAACTACGGAGAAATCACTACACCACAAAGCGGTTGTGGATGCTGGTAGGGCACGCCGTGCACGCTGTTCTGTGCAGCGCCGACAGCGTACAGGAGGCGATTGTGGTGAAGTGCTTTCTCAGAAATAAGAGAAAGGACCTAACGCGGGGTCACTATCCCGAATCAGTGACAATTTCAAGTGATTAGAGAGGATTTGGGTTGTCTGGCACGGATGCAATTTGCCGGTGGTGGATTAGCCATGACGAGCAGCACCCCGTATGAAACGACGATGGATCTGGTATGAGTGATGTACGGGAAGGCAAGATCCACCAAGACTTATCTCGGATCCACCCTTACCTGGGTTCACTTAGGTGGATATGGGATGTACTATACAAGAGTGGATCGGGTGTGGATCTTATAAAGGAATGATGGTAGGTGCCCTCTGAAGGTAGATCTAGTAGCCACGGCTAACAAGAAGTCAAGATCCACCGCGAGGTACCCCGGATCCCATACTTCCGAGTTCGGATCTATGGAGGGAGGGTCCTGCCTTGAGGGACCTGGATCCAGGGTATAGGGATGATGGATGCAGTGGATCTCGAACTTTCGTGGGACCAAGGAGATCACAGACGGTTGCAAGATGATGTTTGGATGATTGGAGAGCTCGGATCCACGGCGAGTGTACAATTACAGTGAGGTGGATCCAAGCGACCTGGATCCGGATCAGTGTACCCATAATAGGGTGACCATGATGGTTACGTCATGGATCCGGTGGATCTGAAGATAACACAGCTGGGATGATGGGTCAAGGAGAGAAGGGACATGCAGCCGAGCCTGGTAAGGGATTTAGCAAGTGAAAGACATAGAAGGTAGAAATCCAGGCAGGTATAGGCTTAAATATCAATACAGACCTCAATTTGCACAGTAACACGCAAGTGCCTTCCTGCCCTCAAGAACCGGAACTACATTGGCCGTACGAGCTAAGAGAAGGTTGGGAATTGCGAATCTAGTGTTGGTAGTGATAACTGGATAATACATTGGCCAGATCCTACAACCTAGTGAGCTTTTCCTTTACTTGTGCAGATCCGACAGGTTAACCGAATTTACTACTTGGTCGGTTACACCCTAGAGGTTCTCAGCTCTCAAGATCCCGTCACAGGAGGCGGCAAGTACGACGCAAAGGAAACTACAAAGGCAAGGGAACACACCCGCAAGGCAACCCTACGGCTAGATCCACGATCTAGGCCCCGGATCCATAAGCTCGAATATTCGCTTAGGATTCGGAACCATCCACGGACGCAGAGTGAAGATTTTCCACTGCTGCTCCACCCCATCCCCACGTCCCGCCAAGACACTCAAGCTTCACCACTTGAACTCTTCGGAAGTTACCGAGAGAGCAAGATCGCGCCCTACCGACGGGTACACAAGTTGAGGAAAGTTCAGCAGAACACGGATCATCGGGGGACCCCTCCGTCGATGTCTGAAAGCAGTTGGTAAGATGGATCTAGCAATTTCGCAGATTTTGCTGATCCCGCTACACCACACTTCAAGGTAAGCGTCTGGTCAAGCTTGTTTGAGTGTGTTATGCCCTGTCGGTGAGCTCGAAGCTCTGTAGCGAGGGTTCATCCGGCAAGGCCAAGAGACTGTGTATTTTGGCCGATTACTACCGGGAGGTTTTTACGTGACGGCTAATTGTTGCCTATTTGCACGACTGGGATTGCTTGTATTGCATCTTTTTTATTATTCCAACCGAGTGTTGAACACTCGGTGCCCTCGTAAAAGGCCTACCCGTGTCTGGTACCCTTCCGCGGTTGGGACCACGAGGATTCAAAACACCTGCTAGCTTTGCTCGTGCTAGTAGCGTGTTCTTATTTTTACTGGTTGGCCTATATAAGTAGTTTACAAGGTCCAGTCTGTCCCGGTGCAAGGGCAGAACTGGGGTCTTCAGGTCCGCCCGAACGATCGTTTACTATCCTAGTAGACGTATTGTTGTGGAAACGTCCTAACTACGTTTGTAGATAGATTTCACGTGGGAATTCCAACACCACAAAGGTAGTCCAGGACACAGATATGGAGTTACTGGCGACAATTAAGACGTAACACGTTGTGTTTCGGAAGCCAATTAATTGTGTACTTCATTCTCAATAACCCCGCTCTGGTCCTCATATTCTCATTGCTGTGTGTGGCCAAATATTGAACTGCAGCACTCCTCCAGCACAACCGAGTAAGACATGACGTACTTTGAGCTGCGAATAGGAGCCCTTACCACAACTGCAATGCGGGTGATTTCCTCTTTTTCGAGTAAGATCAATGCAGCCAGCTCATCGTGCGCATTTAGCAGCTTTGCCGTGTACTTGGCCAATTTTTCAAGCTTCCCTTTCATTTGTTCAACCTGCTGAAACCGGGCTGAAGCAGCTTTTGGCAAAGCTTGGCCTGGTGAGTTTGAAGAGACTCCGCTTCACCACGGCTAGCTACAATTAGCTATAGATACCCCGAAGGCGCTGGGTGACTAGCAATAGCGCACTTAAGAGGGCGTGGCTTATGCTGTCTTCGCTCATTCTCGTCTCCTTAGAAAACCGCCGACTGCGATCTACAAAGAAATTCACAGTAGGGGACCAGGAATTTGTACGGCTCCCGTCATATATATTTTATAAATTACGCCACGGACATATTTTATTTAGCAAATGTTGCTCTCTGTGGCTCTCCTTGTGGCGATGAGGTCTGTTGCGTTGCTATGAAAGCTGTTGCCATACCGTTTCTGTTCGGACAAAAATAAAGTTGATCGGACAATCGGACAACCTCTGAAAGAATATTAATAATTTTTTAGAACAAGTGTGTCATACATCATAAGTTGCCATCAGCGAGGAAGCAGTTCTGAAGTGTGGCGTGAAGAGCTCGTGAAGTGAAGTGCGGCGTATTGAATCTGCGGTGCGTGAGATCCTGTGACGAGACGCTTGTGGAGCTGCGGGGGAGGTGATGGCCCTCGCCACCTTTACGTGCAGTGTGATGCAGTGTGGAGCTGGTGGCGGGGAGGTGATGGCCCTCGCCGCCCTTACGTGCAGTGTGATGCAGTGTGGAGCTGGTGGCGGGGAGGTGATGGCCCTCGCCACCATTACATGCAGTGTGGGGCTAGTAGAGGAGAAGGTAATGGACCTCGCCGTCATTGTATGCTGTGTGGAGCTGATGTGGTGCCAAGTGGCCCCGTGTGGGGCTCGTGGCAGGGGAGGTAATGGTCGGTCGTGTCGGTGATCACAACAGCGTCCCAATGAGATGCATTTCCCGCTGTGGCAGGCTTAAACACTGCTCTTGTATTGTGGTGGTTGTGGCCAAACAAGCACAAATTTCAGGTACCAGTAAAGTGTGTGTAGTATTGAGGGAAAAGTGTATTTACAAAATGTTTTGTGGTTTCACGCAGGTCATGACCCGCAAGTTGTTGGCACAAGGCCGTCGTCAACTCGATGCAGTACCCGGTGCGATGACTCGAAATGTTGGCGACTGGTAGATGTAGCCTCATGTTAAATCTTGTTTGTTGCAGAGTGAAAACTTGTAAAAGGACTTTGGAGGCGAGTCATCGGTGACGCGTCCTTCGCGGACTAGCGCGTGGTAATGCTGAATTTGGCCGTTTAGCTTGCCCGCCTCGTGCATCTCTTTTAGAACTCTAATCACAGTCCCGTAAGATTTCGCCTTCTTGTGATGTGGATCTAGCAGGACTCGGATATTCGCTTCAGCTTCACGACCAGTCTCCAGAATTCGCTCTTTGTCGGCAGCGCAGTTCCCAGTGGCGTCATACCCATTCGGTAAGAGTAAACGCATAAATGCAACCGTAACTTTCATCTCATGGTAACGTCTACGGTCTTCATGTGCATATGGTTCCAACTTGCAGAACCACTCGAACCACACTGCCGTTAGCGACTTGGGTCCTGATTTCCTTCGACCAGCAGCGGCGATCCTTGCTGCTGGTCGATTGACTTCGCTGGCACCAGGTTGAAGCGGTGGTACAGGAAGCGGTGTTGCCGGACCACAAGATGAACCTTCAAGCTTCTGTACGCGGTCGCTGAGCAGGCGAACTTGCTTCAATAAGCCGTCCACAATTTTTATTTGCTGCTCAAGCAGCGTGGTTTGCTTGCGAAGTAGCTCATCAGTTCTCGTCTCATCGGTCTGGCCGCGACCCGCTTGTTGAGAATCTCCGTGTTGTGTACCCATAAGGGTCTTGTGAATGGTAAGGCACCATGAGGTCACCTCGCTTTCTGTGATATGGAGCTTACCTAATGCTTGTCGTACCCGTGTAATATAGGGGGAACTTGGAGCCATTTGAGCCATGTCGTGATAATGCAAGATGATAACCGCCATGAAAACTTCCACCACGTCATCGCGTAAGCTGAGAGTATCTGAGAATCCTTGTGCAGCTCCAAAGAAGAGACCTTGAAGTAGACGAACCCGACGGACGACTACATCATCGAAGCCTTCAAAAGTTGATAGACGAGCTTCACTCTTTAAATCCCATCCAGCAAGAGTTTTTCCCACAGCTTGATCTTCTTGCGCTGTGTTCACTATGTAATTGAAGGCCTTACTGACCGCGGTCATACTCCAACCGCCCCTATCCATTATCCAAGGGGTACTAATGCTGCTGCTACCATTTGCACTTTGAGCAGCGCCGCGCCGAAATGAATGGGATCACAGCCCTTTCGTCAAAGCGGCTCCATCTTTTGTGCAAAAAGCACTCCACTTTCGAAGCAATCGGTTAACGTACGCGTGGATTCCTGGAACTGTGGAACGATGCTGCTCAACCTGGGTGTGGTGTAGCGGGATCAGCAAAATCTGCGAGATTGACCAGATCCAACTTATCAACTGCGCCCAGACACCGACTAACGGAGGGGGTCCCCCGATGATCCGTGTTCTGCTGAACTTTCCTCACCTTGTGTACCCGTCGGTAGGGCGGGATCTTGCTCTCTCGGTAACTTCCGAAGAGTTCAAGTGGTGAAGCTTGAGTGTCTTGGCGAGACGTGGGGATGGGGTGGAGCAGCAGTGGAAAATCTTCACTCTGCGTCCGTGGATGGTTCCGAATCCTAAGCGAATATTCGAGCTTATGGATCCGGGGCCTAGATCGTGGATCTGGCCGTAGGGTTGCCTTGCGGGTGTGTTCCCTTGCCTTTGTAGTTTCCTTTGCGTCGTACTTGCCGCCTCCTGTGACGGGATCTTGAGAGTTGAGAACCTCTAGGGTGTAACCGACCAAGTAGTAAATTCGGTTAACCTGTCGGATCTGCACAAGTAAAGGAAAAGCTCACTAGGTTGTAGGATCTGGCCAATGTATTATCCAGTTATCACTACCAACACTAGATTCGCAATTCCCAACCTTCTCCTAGCTCGTACGGCCAATGTAGTTCCGGTTCTTGAGGGCAGGAAGGCACTTGCGTGCTACTGTGCAAATTGAGGTCTGTATTGATATTTAAGCCTATACCTGCCTGGATTTCTACCTTCTATGTATTTCATCTGCTAAATCCCCTATCCCAGGCTCGGCTCCGTGTCCCTTCTTCCCTTGACCCATCATCCCAGCTGTGTTATCTTCAGATCCACCGGATCTATGACGTAATCCTCATGGTCACCCTATTATGGGTACACTCATCCGGATCCAGGTCGCTTGGATCCACCTCACTGTAAGTGTACACTCGTCGTGGATCTGAGCTCTCCGATCATCCAACATCATCTCGCAACCGTCTGTGATCTCCATTGTCCCACGAAAGTTCGAGATCCACTGCATCCATCATCCCTATACCCTGGATCCAGGTCCCTCAAGGCGGGATCCTCCCTCCATGGATCCGAACTCGGAAGTATGGGATCCGGGGTACCTCGCGGTGGATCTTGACTCCTCGTTAGCCGTGGCTACTAGATCCACCTTCGGATGACACCTACCATCATTCCTTCATAGGATCCACACTCGATCCACTCTTATATAGTATATCCCATATCCACCTAAGTGAATCCAGGTAAGGGTGGATCCGAGATAAGTCTTGGTGGATCTTGTCTTCCCGTACATCGCTCATACCAGATCCATCGTCATTCCATACGGGGTGCCGCTCGTCATGGCTAATCCACCACCCGGCAACTTGCATCCGTCCCACCAACCCAAATCCTCTCTAATCACTTGAAATTGTCACTGATTCGGGATAGTGACCCCGCGTCAGGCCCATTCTCTTATTTCTGAGAAAGCACTTCACCACAATCGCCTCCTGTACGTTGTCGGCGCTGCACAACAGCGTTCACGGCGTGCATTACCAGCATCCACAACCGCTTTCTCCCCTTCGCGACACATGTCTCCCGCCAAGCGTACCGGCAAATCGTCGGGCAAGGCCCCATCCACCACTCCTCCGGTCAGCCCTTCTTCAATGTCATTCACCGATCTGCGGGCTCTAGCCCAGGCTCTTTCCGATCGGGTGCAAACCTTGACGGCGAAGCTCCAGACGGCCCACGATGCCCGAGACCAAGCTGCGTCTTTGCACGCCACCCAACTCCAAACCTTGCGAGCCCAGGACCATGACCAGGCTATGGTGATCCAGGGGTGGGAGCACCGTGCGGCCTCTCGCTCGCAAGACCTGCGACTCCTGTTGGCTAATCAAGCGGTCGAGATCCGCGACTTGACCGGACGGCTGGATCGCGCCTCCCGTCAGCGAGATGGCATGCGGGACGACAACGACCATCTCCTTAGGAAGATGGCGCTCGCTGGATCTGAGATCCACCAGCTCCAATCCCGGATCCACGACCTCGAGCGGGATCTGGAGGATTCCCAGACTGCTGGGGCAGCTGCGGATGCGAGCTTGGACCGGCTCCGTGACGAGTTGCGTCTGACCCAGGAAAGGGTGGTGACCAACGACTATGTGGGATCCACCCATGGCGGAGCCGCCTTAGGGTCGGCGCGTGGAGGATCTCCCGCGCCAAATCCACCTCCCTCATCGCCAGATGTAGCCCTGGCTCAGCTTGCTGAGGAGTTGCAGGATACCAAGGAGTCGCTCGAGAAAGCGTCTGCCGGACGAGAGTACGCGCTCGAGGAGTTCGTGCGTATAACTCAATTACGCGATGAGATCCAAGCGAAACTGGCGGACAGCGAGCTCCAGCGGGACAAGGCGGCTACCTAGTGGGCGGCTGCCAAGCGTGCACAAACAGAGCTGGAATCCAACGCTTCGCCGCACGAGTACGTGGATCCTCTTTTAGTCCTTGCTAGTAACCCCATATTCACTCGTTAGTGTCCATCCAGGTGACAAATTGAAAGACGCCGATGCGACCGCCGCGAAACTCCGAAATCAACTCGCTGCAGCCCAAACTCAGCAGCAACAGCTGGTCCTGGAGCGCGATCGTGGCTTATCGGAGCGGGATTTGGCACGTCGACGACTGGCGCTGGTGACAGCTGCCGTCTCGGATCCCCTTCCTCCCTTGTCGGGACCTTCTCGTGCTGCCATCGTCTCTGCTCCTCTCCCGTCTGTAAGTGGGGCAGATCCATCAGTTGCGAAACGTCCGCGTAATGCGTCTCCCGCTCCTAGCACCGGATCCCCCCGTCCCCATAAGCAAGCTCGAGCTTCCCCGAAAGCCAAACCCAAAACGACTCCGGTCTCTAAAACGCCTTCGCAAACGGGATCCACCTCTGCGTCCAAGGTGGGATCCACATCCGCGTCCAAGACTTCCGCTTCCCCCTCGAAGTCGGGTGCAGGATCCAAGTCTGGAT